CCAAAGCTGTGTCTTCACTTTAAATATATATATATAAAAAAAAAGAAATATCTATAAACTTCAAATTTACTGTATTTTTACATAATAACTCACATCTGTGCATTATTTTGAGTACTTGTGCATTATTTCAAAATGCATATATGCAATATTTTGGATCAATATTGCCAATAATTTAATAGATATATGCGCTATACATAGTGTATCATAATACTTCTAGCTAAGAAAAAACATAATAGTTTTAAATTTTTGGAAGTTCTGAATATTGTTTTTATTAAAATATTGGGTTTTTTTGGCTTGTTGATATATAGTAAGATAAACTTTAAAAATAATATATTTTCATAAGAAATTTTACTATTAGCACTCTATAATACCCAATCCTCACTTATATACCATAAATACCAAATTGCTAACCACCAATCAAAGCACAGTTACGAATAATTTAATTTTCAGATCTTATTTCATTTGACACATCCATGTAATGTAGACAGTCAAATTTCTTTATATCAAACTTTTTTTATAAAGAGCTTACTCTATAATAATATTTTTTAACAAATTTATTATAGAAATATAGTAAATTACTTCTACAATGAGCTTTTAAAATTTTTACTATAAGAACTGTCAGTTCATTATGGAAAGTTATCTGTGTATAATTTTTTTCTTTTTATTTATTTGCTATTTATATACTATTTTAATAAAATAAAGATAGTCACATATACAGTGGCGATCAACAAGTAATGGAGCAAAAAAAATTTGGTTAGATCATATTATTTCATGCAATTCTGAATGTATCTTTTTGTTTTTTTTTTAATTTGCTTATGAATAATTACCTATTTTGATATTAAAATTTTAATTTAGGTTGTTTTGCCAGTTCAGAAACAATAACATATTGTATCATAAAAAACATGATATATTACTTATAATTGTTTCCTATAAAGGTTAGATAAGGCTTGTGTACAACATAAATAACAATATAAAAGTAAATTACATTGTTATTTTTATATTATTATATAAGCTAAATCTTATTGATAATCAAGTTTTAAGTAAAAAAGAATGAATGACTCCAGTCCAACAGGCTAAAATTTTACTTTCATTACAAAAAAGATACACTACAAGGACAGTAACTTATATTCATAAAGTTAGTTTCTCTACCATCTCTCATATTAAAAATAGGTGGTTAAGACACTGCGAACTTGAAGACTTGGCAAGGGTTGTCAGCTAGTTAGTTTAGATGAACTAACCTAAAGGAGGATTGTAAACCTAATTAGATCTCATCCTGCTCAAATGCTGTCAAAGTGTGCTCTTCCTTGAAAGAACAAGAAAACATCAACATTTCTGTGTTCACAATACGTTGTATACTTAGGTCCTATGGTTTAGTTTTAGGTGTTAAAAGAAAGAAGCCTTACTTAAGCCAACTTCATAAAAAACATTGGTTAGAATTTGTAAAAAAATATGAAAGTTAGACTTATAAAGACTGGGCCAAGGTAATTTGGTCTGATGAGTCAAAGTTCAAGATTTTTGGGTCAGATGGCAAGCAATATTATTGAAAGCATCCTGGAGAACCTTTAAACAACTTCCACATTACCCCTATGATGAAATATGGCAATGTTTTCATTATAATTTGGGGTTGCTTTATGTCTCGCAGTGTTGGTGGTTTTTGTAGAATTGAAGGCTGTATGGATAGTGAGTTATGTCATCAAATACTTCATGAGAATTTTTTAGAGATCACTAGAAATTGCAAATTTAATATTCATAATGTGATTTTCTAGCAAGACAATGACCCCAAGCATACGGCAAGGTTGATGAAACATTGGTTGAAGAATAACTGCATTAGGTTGTTGGATTGGCCCCCCAGTCTCCTGATCTTAACCCATTGAACATTTGTTGGTTGAGATTGACTGTTGACTTAGGAACCTCCCTGGTCAAATTTCAAGTAAAGAAGCCTGTGGAACAATATCTAGGTGGTTTGGCAGCAAATCAATGTTGAGATCTGCACCAACCCAATTTGATCCATGCCCAAACAGCTTTGTAATGTTATTAAAACATGTGGTGGATACACCAGGTGGTAAAAGCATAGAGGATTAAAATAGAAAAAAAACATTTTTTTTTATATATATAAAATTTTTTTTGTTTTATGACTGTGTTGCATTACTCATAATCAAAAGTAATGAACATGGCAAGTTCGTTTTTATGAAAAATTGGGATCATTTATTTTTTTGAATTTTTTTTACATGAAGCTTATAGTATTCACAAATAAATTAAAAAAAAAAACAAAAAGATATGTCCAGAATTGCACAAAATAACATGATCTAACAAATTTATTTTTTTGCTCCATTAATTATGATTGCTACTGTATAAAGATATGATTACAACTTACTCACTTGAATGAAGTTCTCAGGTTAGAAAAAAAGTCTACACTATAACTTATATCAAGAAAATCATAAACATATTTTTATTAGATACAATTGAAATTTAATAATTTCACAACTCAAAACTCTTCATTATATGGGGTGTCATCTATTAAAATAGCCCATTTTTACAATTTTTTGAAAATGAGTTTTTATTAAATTCATATAAATTTTGACATGGTTAACATTTTTCAATTATAAATGAAAACCGATTTGCATAATAAAAAAATCAAGAAAATGTAAAGGAAAAATTACATGAGGCTTCGTAGAGCCAACATATTACAAGATTTCTCGATAGTCACCTGCTACCTTTAACTAATCAAAATTGTGAAATTTGATAATCCTAGATCAGTCTGAAAATTAAAACAAATGATTAAACTCAATTATCTCAAAATTGTTCAAATGTAAAAATAGGCTATTTTAATAGATGACACCCCATATATCAAAAGTTTATTGCAAAAAAGTAAGCTGTATTTTGGCTGACTGCTTTATTTCGTTATCTAACTTGTGAATATATTTTAGAACTCTAATATTTTATAGCCTCGTTTGAATTATTTATTTGTGCTAATTTGGTTTATTAATAAAAATTTGCATATAAATCAAATTATAGTCAAAGCTTTATAATATTATAATACTAATGATTTATAATGAACTCTGAACATGTTATTTGTACAATATAATTCAAGTTTTACAATTCATTTTATTGAATAAATTTCCAGCAAATATTATAACTTTTAAATCCACTACTTTTATTATTACACAAATTAAAAAAAAAACAAATGTAACAGAAACTTATCAAAGTTTATCACCTTTACAAAAAAACAACTAACCCATTAAAAAAAACAGCAAGTGATATAGCATATCATTTTTTTGTAAATAATTAAATCTCTGTTATCAAAAATCTAACCACAAGTGAATTCATTAATATTGAATCACAAGAAAAGCTTTTAAGAATTTAGCATGAAAAGCTTATAAGCCGAAGAATAAAATAATAAGTTGAAAAAAAGAGTGTATGTTGTGAGAGAAACTTTTAAAAACTTATATATAATTTAAAATTTAATTTATGCTTTTAAAGTGAAGCTATTTTTTTTTATTAAATTATCATTATACTGTCTGGTAAGCAATAAACTTGACTCCACCAACAGGGTTTTCCTTCACAGTAATTTTAAATTGCTTTTGATAATGATGTACTATACTGTTGTTTATTATTTTTATCCAATACAGTATAGTACTCATTTATATTTTATTTCATACATACGGAATTTGATTGCTATGCTGTATGAATTTGATTGTTATATTGTACAAATTTAAATATTAATTTAAACAAATTTGAATATAACTTTATATGAATTTAAAGATTACTTTATATGAATTTAAATGTCACTTTGTATGAAATTGAATCAAAAGGAGCAATACAACTACAGAGAGTTAAGGGTAGAATATATCATTATAATATTACATATATGATGTATTAATATAAATCGTTTTTAACTATAAGTTTTGAACATATAACAAAGCTAAATTTTAAACAATAGTATATATTCAAAAAAATTTTTTTGTCTTTGTTAGTTGTTAAGCATATATATTAGTAGAAGGTATTTTTACTTTATATTTAGTATTCTATATAATAAGTTTTATATATGCCAAGTTCTATAAACTAGTTGTTCATTAGGTATGTTCATTACTCATTACTGCTATTTGTTCAATACTGGGGGCTGTCTTTCTTTAAAATACGTTGTGGGCAATTAGATTTACTTTCAATAAACACTTTTTATAATTATTATATACTATGGTAAGTAACCATAACTAAAAGTTGTATATGAGCCATTTTAAATGAAGTAGACATATACAATTTTTAATAGTGTCTATTTTTAGATCATTAAGATTTTGAATCTAATATTGTCAGATCAAGATTCTGTAATTTAATTTTTTTTTTTTAATTTTATAGAACTGTTATAAATACTTTGACAACTTGTTATATATAAATAATCATCATCATAAATATTCACGACTCAAAAGATCTATATTTATACTTGAAGACCCTAGTTTGCTTACTTTGTTACCAGAGTATCGATTCTTACCTGATAATTCAGATATATCATCAGAACTTTATTTATTATTAAAAGTTGCAAATATTAATTCAGACAAAAATGGCAAAGTATATGTTCCTTTAATTCCAGGATATGGTATATATACATGTCTTGGTGAATATTATTTTTATATATGTCTTGAATAGTGTGGGATTCGTAAAACTATTCTTTACCAATGGACAGATTTTGGTACAAATGATAGTTTTTAAGAACCAGTTGCATCAAACTGCTTACCTGATTCATTATCTAGTTTATGAAATTATATTAAAAATGACAAAACTATTAATTATAAGGGTGAAGTTTCTATGACATACTTAATAGACCTAATATATACAGAAAATGTTCAGTGGCTTCGAGGATTTGTAAATAATAAATATCCTAATATTTTTTAAATAAGTATATAGTTTATAATGCTAAAAAAAAATGAGACAAATTTTATAACTTAATTAAACAAAAATCAACTGAATTATAAAATGAATTAAAAAACTATAATACAACTAATAAAATGATAATTAAAAATGGACTGCCAGTTCAAACTGAAGGTTGGGAAAATGTTGCACCTACAATTGTTCAAGCGATAGCTATTCAACTTACTGATACTGAAGCACAATGCCAAAATCTTGCTAAAAAGCTTTGTCTATCACAAGAAAATGTTGAAAACTTACAAAATAAATTCGATAATTTAAATTCGACTAGATAAGTTAAATGTTTATATACAACATTATACTGTATAATATAATTAAATAATACTTATTTTTTGTTTAGTGATGAATCTGAAATAAGTAATTCTGATGAATTAGATTTTTTGAGCATATCGAAAATTATCAATACACTTTCTACAAAAGGAGAATTAGGATCTTTAATATTAATTAGTATTAATATATTTCTTGAACTAATTATAAACCAACCTTGTTCAACTTGTGTATCAATGGAAATTAGACAGCGAAGATACAAAATTAAAGTTACAGAATTTTTAATTAAAATTATAATGGTATGCCATATATGCCAATTAACAAGTATATATCAAAATGAATCTCAAAATATGTATTTTTCTCAAGCTGTTGCTGGTGCCAGATTAGTTGCTGAAGCAAATAAAGAAGAATTAAAAATAATTTTAGCATTTTGTGGAATTACATGTTAAAGTGGTTATAAACAATATTTTAATTATCAGAATATAATGCATAATAATATTATTGAAACTGCTAAAATTAGTGCTAAAACAGGTATAAATGCTATAATTAAATCATTAAAAAAAACTGATAAATATATAGTAGAAGAAAGTTTTGATTGCGCTTGGAGTCATGTATGTGAAGCTTCATAAGCAAGTGGAGAACTTATATTTAATGAATATTTAGAAGGTAAATAAATATTAAATTTTTATCTAAACCAATTTTATTAATATTTTGAAATAAATATTTACAGTTAATATTTTTATAGCAAAAGTTTTTTTTATATATATTAACTTTTTATTTTGCTGTAAAAAAGTACTATAAAGAATATTGAAAAGTTACAGATATTAAATTTGTAAAATAACTATCATATTTATAATTAAGTTTTATCATATAGTTGAAAAACCATAAATATATAAAACTAAAAAAAAATCAAGTAACAATTAATAAAGGCAATTATAATGGCAGTTCTTAACAAATGGAATATGCAATTTTAATTGAAATTATTGAAAAAATTACTCTCTTTCTTATAGATAATCAAATGGTACTAGATATTAGCATCGATAGTGATTTAAGTAATACTCAGAGGAAAAAATTTGTTTATAAAATCTTTGCAGATTTAAAAAATAACACTAAGCTTATTAGAAATAAAATAGGTAATAAATATTATATTACTAAGTTATATTTAATACAATTTTTAAAATTTAAATTACCTTTATAGTAGCTGATCGTAAATAGAAATTATTAGAGCAACTAATAATGAAATATTATACCAAATGTGTTTACACTGCTATTGCTAGATGCCAAAATCCTACTATTGATAATCCTACAGATAATGATCTTTTCTTTATACAAACAGAAGAAGTAATTGCACATCTTTCTAATAAATATTCAAATTGCTGGCCCAAAGTATGCTGGATTAGTACAAATTCAGATATAGAATTAGAAACGCCTAATTTAAAACTATATCATAAAAGTCAAAAAGAGCAATTGTTAAATTTTCTTTGCAAAATTATAGAACTTAAAGGAAATTAAAGTTTTATTACAACTATTAGAACTAGTATTAATGAAGCTTTTAACTGTGTAAAATTAAATTATACTGACAAAAAAACAGATTATCCTAAATTTTATGCTACATGTCATACTTTATCAATAATTTACAATAATGATAGATTAATAGAAACACTTTGTATTAGTCAAAGAGCTGCAAACCTTCTAGAATTTTCAAATAATGATAAGGCTAATATATTAAAAATCTGGAAAGAAAGAGAAAAAAAGTGTCAATGTAATTTAGCTGCAATTGAAAAAAGAAATTAACAACATGCAAACAAAATAGTAAATAAAAAAATAATTTGAAAGAATTTGAATTTAATCAGGTTAGTAAATATAACATAACAATTTTAAATAATAAAAATTCAAAGTCTATTTTCATTTTTTAGGATTTGATTCCTTACGGCCATTATATACAAGAAAGTATTCAAAACCACACTTATATTCTATCATTTACAAATTTGTTTAAAAACTTTGATAATGCATTGCTGTGTAATGGGTGTCATTGTTTTGAGTGTCAGTTTGCAACTGGACTTTGCCTTCTTTGTGGCTTTTATTTGTATTATGATTTGAATAATTTTATACTAAATTCTAATTTTAAAAATCACACATCAAATCATATAACAAATGAATTACTTATTGATGCTGCATTGGATAAGATATTTAAACTACCAAGCCATCAGGAAATTCAAAAAAAAAGTATTCAGTTATTTATTTCTGGTCAAGATACCTTAGCCCTTTTAAGAACTGGTGGTGAAAAAACTTTAATTTATTCAGTAGTTAGTATTTTATCATTATGGTTAACTGTCGCATTTACGCTTATGAAGTCTCTAATGGATGATTAAATGATAAGTATTTAAAAATAATCAACCCCCAAAAATTATACTCATCTTTTAAAAATTTAGTATGACAAGATATACCGGCTGTCATACTTTTTGCTACTTCTGACCAGCCTCCTAAAATTGTAAAAAAAATTTTTGTAGAAATTGCATTAGGAATTATACATGTATTGTTTGTAACAGTAGAAAAATATGTAAAAAATCAATCATTTAGAAAAATGTTAAAAAGAATAAAAGAAAACCGAGGCTTACAATTTGTAATAGACGAAGCCCATTGTGTCTTGAATTTTAGATATTTTAGATAAGTTGTATTAGAGTTTGAAACTAGTTTTATTTTTTGTATGTAAAAACTAATTAAAACTGGTTTTAATATATGAAAAATAAAACTAGTTCTAAACTCAGTTGTAGAAATAATCTAATAATTTATTATGATTTGTCTATAAATAATAAAATTATTCAGTAGATGTATAGTCTAAACTACTTTAGACTAGTTTAACTACCTTCTTTATTGAATAATAAATTATTAAATAGACAAATCCTTGTAAGTTACCAAATAAATCTATATCAGTTAAGCTGATACTGCCTTATAACCTATTTATTTGATCACAAATTTAAAATTTATCTAAAAAATGAATTCTTTCAGAATTTAATTTCTTATGCTTATTTTAAATTCATGATCAAATAAACTAGCAATCAGGCAGTGCTTGCCTAATAACTATTATAGCTGTTTTCAAAAAGGTATAAACAGATACAAATAGCTATTTCATAGAAATTTCACGAAATTACCCAGATTTCCAAAACTTTCAAAGCCAGCTCTAATCAGACTTCAATTTTTACTAATGATAATTTTCTAATTCTTTGATTCCCTATATAGATATGTGGAAATCATTGTCCACAACTTTTTGAAAACAGCTGTAATTATTACAACTTATGAATTTGCTTTGGCAGGGATGATTGAAGTAAATTAGATTCTCTAAAATCTGAATTTCCCTTGGCACCATTATTGTTGCTAACTGCAACATGTCATCAACAAAGTGCTAGAGATCTTGTAACAATTTTGCATAGGCCTTCATTAAATATTATTTGTAGTTCCATTGTTTATCAACTAGAAATTGAAATGGAAGTTCAGTTAAAATCTAGAAGAAATGAGCTGTTTAAAGAGAAGGTTTTGGAGATCTTAAGAACAATATCTTAGGGATGTGCTATTATATACTGTACCACATCCTCAGATTGTAATTGAATAGAAAATATCTTATTAGAGCAGTTCAGTCAGTCTGAAATTGAAAAATATCATGGAAAAATGACAATGATTCAAAAATCTCAAATTAGCCGATTTTGGAAAGGAAAAAAATTAAAATTTATAGTAGCCACAAATGCATTTGGAATGGGCATTAATGTAGATGATGTAAGATTAGTTTTACATACCACATTTCCTATGTCATTAGACAATTTTGTCCAAAAAATTGGGAGAGCAGGATGGGATCGTATGCAAGCAAAACAAGTGATACTTTATACATATTCAGATATTCAGTCTCTATTAATCATGCTGCATAATGGAATTGAAAGATAATACCACAAATTAAATCAAATTTTGAATTTGAATCAAATATTTGAAAATAATTTCAAATATTTGATTTAAATTCAAAATTAGATTTGATTTTGTAGAATACTAGTCTTGAATATATTTAGAAATATTGATCGATCACACTATGACTAATTATTTAACTTCATTGATTGCTAAATTTTTTATTGCAATTTTATGTCTATGAAAAAATAACCAAGTATAAACAATCACAGACGAGCAATCATATAAAATCCAAAAAATTTTGATCAATCACTATTCCTAAACATATTAAATAGAAAATTTAAATTTCATAAATATATTCTTAGTACAAACAATGTTTCGCATACTATAAATAATAAAATGGATCCAATTGAAAGAACACAAATTTTAACTCACCGTTTATACTTAGATGAAGAAATAAAAAAATATTAGAAATGATATTGTTTTGTGAAAATCAATATGAATGTAAACAACAAATTACATACAAATCATATATTTGGGATGGTGATGATGATGTTCCACAATGTTACCAATGCGTTAACTGCAAATGGTATTTACTAGATCAACGAGTTTGCCAAGATGTTAGTGATGATGCTATGCAAATTATTAGAATTCTAAAAAAAATATTAAATAAGGCAGCACAAGAAAAAATGAATTACAAGTTTGTGAAAAAAGAAGATATTGTAGACATATTTATGAAAGTGAATAATACCAATGTATGTGATTTTCAACTCAACACTATTGATGAATACAAAGGCTCTACTGGCCACATTCAAACCTGTCAGAATGTCTTCTATTTGATCAATGTTTTACTAGTCAAAGGCTTAATTAAACAAGAGGTAGAACTGAAGTTTCGAACTCCAGAATCATCAATACTAATCTATAGCTATAGAATTATTGGCATTCATGATGATGCTGAGGAGGAAATTAGAAGAGATAATTGGAGCCTATGGTTGAAAAAAAGTAGATAATGATTAATTTTTTTTCATAAAAGAAAAAAATCATATGGTATAATAAATAATAAATTAGTAATTTTTGTAAAAAAATAAATAATCATATAAATAATAATCAAGCACAATTTTTTTTTTTTTTTGAGTCGATTTCTTTGAATTTTTTTGTGTTTGAAAATTGTATTGTGACTTTTTATATGATTAGAAATGTTATATATTGATCTATTTTTAGCACATATGATCTTTTGGTTATACAAAAATTGATCATTAAAAATTGAATATACGTAACTATATAAGATACCCTACCCTTACCATAAGGCGTGAAATAATGTGCAAGAGTTTAATTTTAAAATTTGGTCTAAATTAAGTTTAATTCAGGCCAAATTTCAAAATAACGCCCCTGTGCGTTATTCCGCGCTTGTATGGTAATTGATTAGATTTTGAAAAATATGATGATATGATAACATATATAACAATAGACAAAGTATGTAGTATTAATCTGTTTCTCAAAGATTGGAGTTAATGAACAACTAATACAAAAGGTCATATATATATAATAATATGTATAGAGTTAGACTATGATATATACAAATAAATGAGAAATAGTATACTCGAAAAGGAATTAAGTATTATTTTTTATTTATTAAAAGAAAAGATTAAGATTATTATATATATATACATGTAGAGCAAGAGATGCACTTTATATATATTATAATTAATAAGAAGGTTAAAGCATTTTATCTGTCAGAACTGACACTTGTGCTATTAATAATAGATAAACTACTAACAAAAGAGATAATTACTTTCTAATATCCATGGTTTTTAGGTATCTGGATATTGTTACAACCAGTGAGAAAGCTTTATATTAGCTGAGCCAATTTAGCATAGAGACGTAAGTAGTGATATGCCACGTACAGTACTATATGTACTGTACTGTATGTACTGTACGTACTGTACGCTAAAATTTTTGCTGATCATTTATTGTCACAGATTAAAATGAAATCTGATCAAAACGAAAATTTTCTGTTTTTCAAAGAAAATTTAAAAATTTTTGGGGGACATTTTTTGGGAAACATTTTTTGGGTTCTTTTTAGCATTAGGGGTAGGGTTTAGAGTTAGGTTTATTAATAAATGAGTATATGTGGGTTTTATAGGCTC